GAGCAGATGAAACACAGAAAGGCACATACAGAAATGTACAAACTATCACCCTGGCAGTGTTCAAGAAGTCTTGAGCAACCTGGTCTAGAGGGAGGTGTCCCTGCTCAGGGCAGGGGGTTGGGGCTGTATGATCTATAAGGTCCATTCCAACCCCTAAAAACTCTATGATTCTATGATCAAAACATTCCTAAATGTGGCCATATGAGTATAAGGTATGTACAAAGTTCATCAGCAAAGTAGAGCCTGAACAGTGTCCAACTGTGAAAGGAAAAGGCACTTAGGAACTAACCCAAAGACAAATCACAAAAGCAAACACTCATATCTCCAAAGTGAAAATTCAGCTCCTAAGAAACTGCATCTGTGTCTCTGATGCCTTAAATCCAAACAAAGCCTATACATTTTCCACTGCAAAACTCACAGCGAAGTGGGAAATCAAAACACAAGCACCATATCAGCAGAAATCACAAATTTATTAATCCTTAAATATATCAATCATTTACCATTATGGCAAGAAATATGTACACTGTGTCCCATGGTAAACTGCAGTGTTCCAAAATGACAGAAGTGTATAGTTCAGTTGTGGTGGAGAGAGAACAAATCACAAATTTCCTCACGGCTTGGTGTGGAAGACAAACTTGGTCTACAGGAATACGTCAACACCACATGCTATGTTAGGAGTATAAAAAAAAAACCACCCTACACCTAACTGGTTAATTTTAAATACAGTTATGCCACTTATAGCCGCTTCACAGAAAAAAAAAGTAAAGAAATTAATGAGGAAAACAAAAAAATGAGGCCATTACTTTTTTCACAGATCCCATTGGCAGGTTAATATGGCTCAACACATTTATTGTAGATGCTTATTTTTAAATATATATTGTTTAAAATCATGTAGTAATTATCAGAGAAGCTTAAATCCATCTACCATACATCCACTAGTAACAACATCAACATGTTTAAGAACTGCTTTTGATTAGGAATCGACACAGAAAGGTGAAATGAGACAAATTAGGAAGCTTTCCCATTTGAGAACCTGGAGGCTGCTGAGTTGGTGAGAGGACATTGACTAAGACACCATGCACTATACAGGGGCAGGGAGCCCTGCTGCTAACAGAACCACTGCCCAATGGAAAACATGAAAATCACCCATCCCTGGGGGGTTCTGTTCACACTGGGAGGGAAGAAACCTAAATTCTTGCGAGGATGTGTTTTCACAGCAACATGAGGGAAGCGAAAGTAGTCCCTGTGGGAAGGTTTGGTTTGCGCACTGACAGCAGAGTGTCCTTGGTGTGGATCCAGGCCAAACCCCTCGGTCATGCTGCAGGGATCACTGGCCTCAGGTCCACACACTGCACCAGGAGTTGGAGGAACCAAGAACAGATTGAGGGGGGACAGTGGGGAGACAAAATCCGTGGTAAAGTGTTACAGTCTTATTGGGAAACTGGTGTATCCATAATACATTTCCAGAGAAGCAACAGCAGCAGTGTAATGTAAGTAAACTCTTCATATTTAGCTTTAAGGCCTAATATTTCTCGAGCATATTAACCACACAACTGGTCTATAGCTTAGTCAACATATTATGTTTTTTAAAGCCTCCTTAAAAAATTTACAGTACATCCTAAAAGCAATAAAAATCTCTCTCTCTCCTTCCATTTTAATCCTCAAAAATTCCCTCTCAGATGTCACTTAGTTCCTTCGTTATTCATTTTGCTTAATCATCCAATAGAAATTTTCAGCTGAGCAAAATAAGAGAGCAAAGGTTACGACTGGAAAGGGAAGCAGAAGCTGCTGACTCACCAGGACACCGACAGTTAATTCTGAAGTGGCCAAGCCAGCAAAGGAGGAGACTTTTCCAGTTTACACAGACTAATAAACGAAGAAGGCTTCAGCTGGTCCAAAGCCAAGATATTATCACGTCCACATTTGTCAGTGATTTTGTCCATCTAAGTGCTGTCATAAAGATCTGTTTTACAGTAAAATCCTAACCATTCCTACCAGAACCAAAGCAAAATCCTGGGACTCAGGGGAAAAGGAGGAGTCAAAAAACAGTTCTTAAAAAAAGAAGGTAAAATAGACTTCCTTTTTTTTGTTTATTTTTTTCTCTCTTTTTGTTTTTTTGTTGCTTTTTTTAATAAACAGGACAGTTTTTAAAGTTGTCTGTCAAAACTTGGCATAGATGGAGGAAGTGACAGATGTGTTGTGTATCTACTGCTGTCCATTCAATAATTTCTTTGCCTTTTATGCCTTGCTATTCTCTATTTGCATGGAACATCACCTTCATTGAAATGCTAACAGTGTACAGATGGAATATACAGCAACATGGTGCATCACAAATGTGTTACATGAAGAACCTTCACAGCTTCATGCACTCAGAAACATGCATGAAGAGAACGGGATGGCCAAGATGGTAATCAATCAGGTGCGTTGGGTACAGAAAATGCAAGAGCGGCACCGCTGATATTTTTAGCTAGGAGGAAGGAGAAAAAAACAAACAGATTTCCATTACTCAGGTAACATCACCACCAGATAACAATACATGCTCAAGTGCTAGCCAATACTATTGAACAAAACACCTTCTCAAGATCGTTGAATACAACGTTGGGAAGAAAACCAAGGGAAAGAAAACCCCCAAACACTCAGGCAAAGCATTCTTTTATTTTCAAACCACTTTACAGACATTTTCCATCTTTACATTGTGCCAGAGAGGCTGTTAAAATAAAAAGGAAGCCAAAGTGCCTTAAGGGGGTTCTTAAAGGAGGGAGGGCAGAACTGGGATGTGAATCTCTGAGCGTAACTTAACTTCCTCAGCATGGACATCACAAGCATTGCCATGGACTGAGAGTCTTGGACAAAAACTGAACCAAGTAACAGGGAAGAATCAGATGTCATTAACATGCAAGACATGCTAGAGCCATATGCAAAGAGGAAAGGAAAGAAAAGGAAGATGTAAGCAAGAAGTTGACTAACTCAGGTTGTAACATCATTGGTATTACCGTAGCGTCTAGGGGCCGAGGTCGTGATGGGGATCCCTCTGCGCTAGGCACTGCACAAACACAGAACAAACTTTACTCAAGTCTCCTGCTGTTTGCTATTTCACTTATGAAAGGTTAAGAAGGTGTAAGCTGTGATAAATGAGGGAACATAAGCCTCATTCAGGCTGAAGTTAGGTTTGGGAGTCAGTTTGAGGTCCAACAGCCCTTTGGCTGCCCATATCAGGCAGGTCAGCTTGCTGTGGACAAGCAGACACAGCTCTGAAGAAACACACTAGCACAGGTTCTTAAGAACATGGATACAGAGAATTCCCTACCATCACTCATATCACTCAGGGAGAAACAATGGACAAGAAAGAATCCAAAGTTTGACTTGTCTGACTTGCAGCAAAACTACAGATAAAATTTATTCATAAGCTAAATACACCTGTGTGCATCATTTGTGCTTATATTCTTCTGCAAAAACACTCCCTGCCAGGAGGAAACATTTCTGCATACTCTAGCTACCAAAGAGCTCAGATATATCTTTAGGTTTATGCACACTCCTCCCTGTAGTCCTGAGAACAAATAAGCTACTTTGCTTGCAGCACCTGATTGACATAATCTAGGAGATGATGTCTGCAAAAGCAGATCACAGCTGTAACTGCTTTTGCAAGTTTATTAGATTTGAAATTTTTCTTCAGACATCATGTGCAAGATACTTTTTTGTTATGGAAATGCCATTGTTGACTCCTGTGCATACATAAGTAGCTGCAGACTCTATACATTTCAAATAAAGGAAGTATAAACTAGAACAATATGTTAATTAAATTCCTTCTGTAGCTTTCCAGAATGGAGTTATTGCTGCTCCAAACTGGGAAAAGTGAAGGTGAAGTTCAAGGCAGCCTAAAAGATGGTCAGGGTGGGTAGAGAAGGTGATTCTAGCATGGTGCTACATGGGAATCTACCAGTCAAGATGGGGAATAAATAAAGAATATGTTAAATAACTGAAAGAAACCCCACAATGTTTGGGCTGAAAGAGGAGCCACTGGCCTAGAGGAGAGTCACTAGTCCTGAGCACAAGCAGTCAGACTGATCTCATGCAGCACACTCACACTCAGGTGGAAGGCACTATAAAAAGAAAGGAAAACAGGAACATTTTGCAAGAAGAACCAAATACCCTTGAGGTCTTGGTAATCCAGAAATGTTACATGGAATAATAGGAAGTGCAAAGCTGCAAGCTCAGCAAAAGTTTCTGTCTACACATTGGTTGGAAATGAGAGTTGAAGATAAACATGTAGCTGTCTCAGATGAGCTGCTGATGTGATGCAGATGAGAAAAGTGCGAAAGTCATGCCAGAACATAGCAGGGAAAAGAAAGATATTGTGGAGTTAAAGCTCTGACCACAATCGGACAGAGCATTTCAGAAGAATAATGAAAAGTCAAACCTCAAAGGACAGTGAAGAGCCATTAAGGTAGGCAGGAAAATGGAGATACTATCAAAAAAAGAAGCAAACCAAGTAAGCATTGGTTGTTTACCCTCCAAAAATGGAAGGTGGGAAGTGATCTGATCAGCCTTCCTACAAACCAGCTCATGTCTGCATACCTATCCCTGGCACAGGAGAACTAGGATGAAATCAGAATAATCAAGATATGCTGAATTTGACTACATTTTAGACTGGAAAGTGAAGCTTGTGACCATCAGACCAATGGTATTTTAGACCAGTGATACGAGCAACTGCAGAAAGCCCTCTGAATTCCAGAGGAGGGTTGGGTAAGGGATTTATGTATACTGCTGCCAGGGCTACACATTCAGGGCTATGCTGCATCCCAAGGCACCTCTTCTTAAGCCTGAGCCCTGCTGTAAGTATTTGAGCCACTCAGGAGGACCTCTGTGACCCTTTCAGCTTGGACACCCCCTCACAATCCTGAAATCTCCTCTGCCTGACCCCATAGGCTCAGAACATCCATGGACACAGACACAACCCTGAAGTGTCAAAATAATTACCTCACAGCTGCTTCTCTTTCCATCCTTAGCAGCCCCAGAAATTCTTATCTTTATTAGAGAGCTGTAAAGAACCTCCTCCAACCCCTTCCCCAAAAAACAGAGGGGATAAAAAAACCCCAAAAGGAAAAGAAGGAATAAGTCTCTAGTCAAATTTGTGTCATTCTGCTATAAACACTTACTGTCCAGGGTGCACTGGGACAGGTGAACCTGCTTCACATAGACTTCCTGGCTCTACACACACCCAGGTCAGATTCCTTGACAAAACCCTCCTTTATGAAAACATCACAAATCCACATAACATTGCAGTTCAAGGAAATGTAACTACTCTTTCAATATTATCTGTTTAAACTCTGTCAGTGCAGCTGGAATGTGAGAAACAAAGGACCATGTGGTTCCTGCTCCCACTGGCTTCACACTTTGAAATAAGCTAATAGTTAAAACTAGGTAATAAAAATTTTTTTTCCCTAAATAAAAAAAAATTACAAAATTAATCCCCATGGAAGTTTAACTCTTCATTCTACCACATTATCAAGTATTATTTCGTAAAGGAGAATAGTGTTGCAAGAAGTAAAATGTGGGACATGATGAGGTTTGAAGGATAAACTCTAAGCCCTTAACATCCATGCCAGGAAATTCAGCCACTATCCACATTAAGACACCTTACACAAATGGAATTATATCCTAGACAGAGTGCTCACAGCTGGGCAAAGCAAGGCCTGTACCAGTGGTGTCCCATTTGGAAACAGCCCAGCCAAAGCCGGCAGTAAGGTTGGGTTCCTTAGCAAAGGCTGCAAGAAGAAGGGAAGCCAAGGACCTGAGCTGAACCTCCTGAAGAAGTCACGACTATCATGTTATTGCAACTCTGAGTGTGCTGTAGTCAACCCTGCTGACAGCCGGGCCCAAGGAGTTTGGATCTGCACACACAGACTCACTGCATGGCTCCAAGGGTGTGGGAGGGCACACGGAGGTGCCCAAATGAATGGGAGAGAGAAATGACGAGGGGAGAGATGTGAGGCTTACCCACACAAATGTCATAACTGTCAGACAGGGACTGCTCAGCCCTCAGGCAAAGAGAGTGTGGGAAAAGAGATAAGAATGTGATAGGTATGGCTATAACTTCATTTACAATGTAAACTGGCTCAAAACCAACTAGCAGTGAACAATAGGCCTGAGTAAGTGGAGGTGGCTGGAAATCCCAATAAATATCAGCCAAACTTCAGGTTTTTTACAATAGTGATACATTTTTCCTTGAAGCATTCTGGTCAGCTCTAACAGCTCCATGTATCCTATTGGTTTTTGTTATCCTGAAATTCTGTTTCAGGTTCTTTAATCCTACTTTGAGTGATGTCTAACAAGCCTTATCGACATAGGTTGAACTCGATGATCTCATGGGTCTTTTCCAACCTAACTGATTCAGTGAAAACCTTTTTCTGCTCTTCCAGCTGTCAGTTCAGGGACTGGGTTTGATTAGTGAGCGTCACATTTGGAAACAACAACAGAAAGCGTTATACTAAGGATATTGCACCCATACCATATGCACACGAGCGAATATAACGCATCAGAAACAACCACAAGAAATCACACTACCGAGTGGACGCATTCATAGTTTTTAAGGCTGAAAGCAGCTATTGGACTATCTGCTCTGACCTATATGGTTTAAGCTTGTGGTCTGAGTTGTTCCTTACTTGATAGGTACTGTAGGCGACCCTGACCGGTGGAAATGGACGTTCTGCCACTTGCCGTCGCGGCGGTGCCAGACGCGCGTCTCCTCCGACTGCATAGTCTTTGGCATGCCACTGCCATCCATGTACTGCGTCAGCCGGATGTAGGCGATGCAGGCTGCGTCCTCCCCCACCAGGTGCACGTGGGGGTTGAGGATGATGGTGTGGATTGGCTTATTACTTTTGGATAGAGCTGGGAAACACATATGCACATGGAGGAGAGATGAAATTTTCTCTGTGTAAGACAAAACACCTCGTCCTGTTGTACTAAACTAAACAACAATCTCAAGCTTAGAAGGCACTGAGTAATTATTGGTTCGTGACGATCACAACTGGCTCAAGTACATTGTAGAAATGAGCACAGTCTAAGCATAAACTCTGATTTCCCCTTTCTAATTAAATATTTAATAACATAGATTATGTACTATTGAATATGGACATAAATTTAATCCATGTGTTCACAGGGGTTCACCACCTTGAGTTTCTCAATATTTCAGTGTCGTGGTCACGTCTAATGACATTTGTTCTTCATATTTGCAGTTAAAATATTTCACTCATTTTTCGATCATAATTTATAGTGTCTATTATGTTCTATTTAATATATACATATGTTTAATCCACATATCTACACGGACTAAATGGAGTTCACCACCTTGAGTTTCCCAATATTTCAGTGTCATTGTTATGTTTAATGACATTTGTTCTTCATATTTGCAGTTAAAATAATTCAGCTCTTAACTCATTCTTGTGTCATATTTAATAGTGTATATTATGCTCTATTTAATATGTACATAAATTTAATCCATGCATCTATGTGGATTAAATGGAGTTCACCACCTTGAGTTTCCCAACATTTCAGTGTCACTGTTATGTCTAATGACATTTGTACTTCATCTTTGCAGTTAAGATAACTCAGCTCTTCACTCATTCTTGGATCATATTTCATTAAATGCTCACACATGAAAAGTAAAAAGCAGTGATAATGAAAGGAGAAATTCTAAGGAAAAATACATAAAATGCTGATTTGGAGACGGAAGAGCATTTAGGAATATGCTAATCTCATTTAGATTAGGGATGTTTAGATTTAGGAATACAGTCACCCCATTTTATGCTCAGGTTTTTCTAAGAAATTACTGGCTAAGCTGATATCTTAATTTATAATATTTTATTTCCTTTTAAGTCAAGTCTGCTCAAAAATGGTTACTTATATTACATGATCCTCCAAAACTATGAAATCCATTCTATGGATAAATTTTCTTTCATATAGATGACACAGATGTAATATATAACTATGAACTGATGTTTTCATATATAGACCCACACATATCCAGCAATACAATGATCAGATCTTCAGCAGTACAGACTGACTGACTGCAGTGTCTGCTTCAACACATCCCATACGGCAAGTGCTGGTGGCTGCAGTCACTGTCATGACACAGCTCAGTGACCTTTAAGTACACTCACAGCATGATTTTCTCTTTTTCCCAATGAGAAAAAAAATATCAAAATTACTCATCTATGGTTTGTGTGTTTTTTCTTGCCTACATTTTGACTTCCTCTTTCCAAATACCTGACACACTGCTATCAAAGGTGCCCTGTGAAGTGTGAATGAGCAGAGAAAAAGAGTAATCCCTTCCCTAATCAATTAACTCCCAAACCAACAAGCTAATTAGACTGGAGAAACACAGCCACAAGGAAGAGATGTAGATTCAGAGATGAGAAAGGAATGCTTACCATTTTCAAAGTAAAACCTGTGGAAATCCATCCCTTCTACTAGATTCCCCAAAGCTTCAGGTTCAAAGGATGTAAGGCCTGGGTCACAGATTTTCCTGTGGAAAAGAGGGAATTCAGCAATGGGCATGTGTGGTTATGGAACACAGCTACGGAGAGACTGGTTTTAATTGTTTCCTCCATTCCTATGGGATGTGTCACTTACCTGTGCCATCACAGAGGAAAAGAGTAGAATTTACACAGGGAGAAGGAATGGAGCTCTGGTTTCACTTAAATTGGTACATTTGGCAGCTTACTTGAGAACTAGATTTCATATAAATCATCTCTTGACCAAAAACATTCCACAAGTCAGTGATATTACAAGTAGATTTTTTTACTTGTGATGATCAAAACTGCTGCAGTCCAATCCAAAGGGTATTTTTTTTGTCTCACATCATTATTTAAGCAAGATTTAATTACTCTGTTTTAGCTACACTGGATTTACGCTGGCAGCTCCTCCAAAATTGCAATGTGCACAGCCAGGGCAAAGCAACCACAAACATGTCTTGTGTTTCTTGAGGGCATCTGAGAAGGAATTTCAACAATACATAAACACAAGCACAAGACTCATATAGAAAGATGAATATTTACACATAGAGTGTCAAATCCATCAATTCTTCTCACTCCCTCTGAAATGAGAAACTTACGTGTAAGCTTCAAAGTCTCCGTTGTTGATGGCTTCAATCAGCTGCTCAGTAACCTTGATAATCTCCTGCTTACGAGCTGGGGAGAGATACAAAACAGGCTTAGAATGGGAGGCAGAGAGGAAGGTGACAGGTACTCTGTCATGCCTCAGCTGGTGCAACTGCCATCTCTCTTCCTGTCTATGACCAAAGCACATGGTGTTATATTGCTGCTTTACACTGATTTGGCCTCAGTGCACTCCTGTATCCATGAGGAAATTAATCACATGTCAAGACCAATCCACTTCCCTCTCATGTTTCTAATCATCTTTCCTTTACTGAAGGATCTGATCGTTACAAAGCAAAACAAACCAAAGCCCAACTCAACTTCAAATTCAAGGAAACTGGTTGCTGTTTCGTTTACACAGGAGGCCTTTACCTTTTCTGTGTCTAATGCTGATTTTCAGGAGTATTTTCAACACTTGGTGTTTGCTTTGGCCAAATGTGAACACTGAAGTAAAGAGGAATTTAGACCTTAAACCTATCGTGAAGATCCTCTGGTGCAAAGCACAAACAAGTCTATTTACAATACAGTGTCTACTCCCTCTTAAACATCAGAAAATTCATGTGGAAGACCCAAGCTTGGAAGAGAAAGAAATGCAAGCAACCAGGCTAGAGTAGCTCTCTTGTGCAACAAACAGCTGTAATTCTGCTCACTCCTACACATGGATTTGCCCATTAACACACCCATGCAAACATGCTTGGAATGCTAAAACCAAAGTACTGAGAGAGCTCATGTTCTTCCCCAAAAAGAAAATGTTGGGGAGCACATACAGAAAGTCCAATGCTGCACTCAAGGACTGGCATTGTGGTGTTAACCTTTTGCTAAGTGCACACCTAATATATTCAAATAAAAAGAACCAGAAAGAAAGAAACCAGCAAGAAAGACATGATGGAGAAAAAAGTGGATATAAAGGTCTAGCAAGGCTTTTTGTGAGCAGCTCTTGACTACTGCATGATGGCTAAGAGTACTTCAAGTATGAATTGCCTTATTTTTCACAAAGATTGTGGAAAGAACAAAGACTTTTAGTGAAGAGCCCAGCAATGCCTCCACTGTTGTATGTTTAAACAACACAGACCAGGCTGTGTGGACACTGCGTGGCACTGCCAGCACCAGCCAAGTGGTAGGATGGGTGAGTAAGAAATCCTGTTGCAGTGCTGCAGAAGGCTGGCAAAAACAAACCCAGAACAAGCAGACCTCGTGCAGGGAGGAAATGACCGGTTTTGCATGCAACAGCTCACATACACAGAACTGAGCTAAAGGGTTTGATTAAATAACCCAGCAACACATTTCAATCAGAGACTAGGAAATTACAGACTATTAAATCAGGCAGTGGGAAATGAGGTAAAAATCTCTGATCAGCTGCCACACGATCATGAGATCATGGCAATGGATAACAATGTAAGCAATGGAAATGTCTATGGTACTGCAGTTTCCACATGCAAGAGACATAAAGCCATGTGGACACCTAATTTTACTGTCACTTGGCTTGAGACAATTGGCAGTATTCCTTTTTTCACTAGCATCACTCATTTCTTTCCCAAGTTTTGCCATTGTACCTTTGATGCTGAGATACACATGACATAATATCAACTGCAGAAGGGAGAAAGCGAACCCTAGTGCCAAATTGCTGCTTTTCCTGCTTTGCCTTCCAAAAGGCAATCACAGTGGAACATATGTTTTCATGAAGCTTTCTGACAGAAGCCACCTATTATGGTTACAGCAAAGTTTCTCTGGGCTGGACTAACATCTAGTAGAGCTGTGTCTGCAGACCTGTCCATGGGTTATAAAGCTCATCCATCAGGAAGCTCTACAGGCCAGCAAAGCAAGTAAAGGAGATTACAGCAGCATCACTGATCAATCAATCACCATCCAGCTCCAGCACTAGTGTCAGTTCTTCCCATACCTGCAGGAAGACTTCACAGTTCCCAGTGCAGACTGTCAGGAACAGGCAGATGTTGCCAAATCATCTATTTTTTAACTAATTTCTCAGCTTTTCTACAAAGTTACAAGCACCACATGAGACTCTAGGAAAGCAACTATGTTACTCTTACCTTTCAGCAACACACAATTACACAGATTAGAGAATTAGACTTCTTCCTATTTAGTGATCTGATGTGCAGTCACATTGGCAGAGAGCCAGAGGTGGAGCATAATTTAGAAAGTGGAGATCCAGAAATGATTTATCCTGTGTGCAAAACCCTTTGCTTTGTTCACAGTCCTTACTCATGACAAGAAAAAGATGGTCAAGAACAAGGCAATATGAAATATTCAGTAACAGCAGACAATAAAGGCTAATTAAAAATCTCAGCAGCCACTGTGATTTTATACAAACCTCCTCCTAATTGTTTCTGGGGGATTGTTTTTATCTCAGCTTTTACACCTTCTTGTGTAGGTATATGTAGGGGTACAGGGAGACAGACTACAAATAGAGGCCAAAAGTATTTTTGCTTCATTGTCTTGGAAGAAGAGGTTTAACCTGGAAGGAAGGGGACGAAAGGAGATGGGAAAGCCAAAATACTCAAGCAGAAAATAGGAAGGAGAGAGGAAAGCAGCAGAAGGAAAATGCAGCTGTGACTTGGTGCCACATGCACGAAGTCAAATCCTTATGCTTATTCTTGGTGCAAAGGAAGAAATGAGAAGGGCACTGAAGATGAGCTAAGGTGAAATGGGTATTGTAGGAACAAGGTCCTGCTACTGCACACAACATCTGATAGAAGTAATTGGCACTTCTTGGAGTGAGAAGAAAATGACCAAATTTTCATTGCCAATTGATGGACTCCATGTAACATATGGAGTCTCTCTCTCTCTTCCAAACCTCCAACTTTTTCCATCTAAATACACACTGCAAACTACACAAGGACAACAACAAGAGGCATTAGGGAAGAGGCATCTGGCCAGTTCCCATCTGCCAGATAACTGTCACTTACAATCACCATTTTCATTTGATTTTGTTCATTATTTATTTTTTTATCCAATAGCAAACTTGGCCTGTATTGAATTCTAGGCCAATTATGCTGTTTGACGTACAGTGGCAATTTGATGCTATTATACTTCTCATTTGATGCGCAGGAAGGACTTCCTAAAGAACACACTTGAGCCTTGGCTAGAGCTGGCCAGAGATCTGTCTGCTCTCAGCGTGGTGAAACAATCAGCCTGAAGCAAAACACGCAGGGGTTGTTGTAATTATGAGTTCCAAGTATTAGGGATGCCTAATTCTCTCTCTTTCCAATAGCAGTACATGCTCAGAGTGCAAGGACTAAATCTAGTCTTATGGCATGGAAGAGTTTGTGTGATTAAGGATAAAAATACTCAGAGATACAGAAAGAAAACTGACAGTTGTACTGGGATTCTGTTAAAACAGGTTCAGCTACTTTTCCTATGGTGTATGGTAAAATCCATTGAAAAAATTAAAGCCTGACCCATCTCTCTCTCTCTCTTTTATATA